AATGATAAACCCGACTCGAGAAAAAATTCGAGTCGGGTCGATCAACCCGGGTCGACTCGACCGGCTCGGAGCACTAGATGGATGATACTCTGGTTGGCGGATTCTAGAGCTGATCTCCAACAAATAATGACTATTGCCGACTCCTTTTACACCCTCAACAACATTCAAGTCAATTGGTACAAATCGGTCCTAGTGACTAATAATAAAGACTTTAGTTTGAAATCGATTTTAATCGATAATCGTATAAAAATTGAATCTATTTTTGGACGTAAAATAACATAAGTATATGGTGCATTACAATTATTAAAAAGTGTCTAAATATATGGAGTGGAAGTTGAATTAGATGTTTAGTTACAAAATATATTAAAGATGTAAAATTTTTTGACAAACATTCATATTATAATTTAAATAAAAATATTATCATAAATATTAAATCATAAAACTGTATAAATTGTATAGTATTATAAAAATATCATTAAACTAGCGGTTTTACCCGGGCGATGCCCCGGGGTTTCGCTAACGCAACGTGAAATACGTGTTGAAAACTTAATTTTTAAAGTTTTAGCATAAAAAAGAAAATTTAAAATAAATAATATAATATATTGATGTTTTTTTTATAAATAATCAACCCACTCTAACTCTAACCCTAATCTTAACGCTAACATATCATTGGTGTTTTTATAAAAACATAACTCTAACCCCTAACCCTAATTCTAACGTAATTGATGTAATTTATATATTATTTTATTTTTAAATTTAAATGTAATTTTTTAGAAATTTAAAATATTTTTATATCCGCGAAATTTTTTTTTTAATATTTTTTTATACCGCGATTTATTTTCGGATTGATATTTTATTGGATTCTTTTTTTAATAATTTTAATTTAAATTTGATTTATTTTTAATAATTTATTAATCATTTTTCCGATGTATTCTTTTTATTTAATTCTACCTAATGCGAATAACCGCGATTTTTTTTTTTTTTTTTATTTTTTTTAATTTGCATATACTGTATACAGTATATCCCCTATCTTTTCAATTTAATTATTTTATTTTATTTTTAGGATTTAATCTATTTAGGGTGTTCTCACAACTCAATGGATCGATCGATTAATCGAAAAATCGAAAATCGAATCTTAGAGTCGAATCTTGAGAAACGATAGTCGCGATTAAATCGATTCTCAAATCCCTATAGTGAACAAATAATTATCTGGTTATATTAACTTTAATAAAAATTCTTTTTTTGTAAATAATTTATTTATTAAAAAAACATTAGCATGACTAAAGCGTAACTTATAGAATTAGAAAAAAATTTGGTTTTTTTTCATACAAATACCATTTTCGCAAAATTCATACAAAACTTTTGAGAAATCCTTGTTTTAAATATCGAATTTTTAAATTTTACGACTTCTTTAATTGCTTAAAGAATATATAATCATATTAAATAAAATTTTATAAATATATATTTCAAAACCAGCGGTACTAAGAACCAAATATGATTGTTGGCAAAAGATCGAGAGGGTTCAAAGATTTTTTAATTTGAATTGTGACGTTAATTATTCCATCGCTTATAGTTAAACCACTATGAAACTTACAAGATTGGCGCAGTATGTTTCTGGCTTTAAGGACCCTTATCAAATTTCTATAATTTTTACTTGATTTTTTTTTCACCCGATAATACTATTATTATCAATGGTTTCTATTATTATTTCTCGTATCTTTTTCAACGTGCAAAATTTATAAAGTATTACCATATTTTATTAATAAAATTAAAATGTTTTATCACCAATTATTATATTTAATTCAACCTCAACAAATATCTGGTGGTGAGTGTATAATTGACAACACGGCAATTCTGCGTCATATATGTGTCATAACACATTGCTAAGATTATAACTCCCTTTTAACAATTTACGCTATTTCTCTTAAAAATTTCTTGTACTTTTGTTTCCGCATGTTTTTACATCATTTAACGTAATTTCACCATTGATTAGTCACAATTGCATTAGATTGATTATCAGATTAAAAATATTTGTACAGGGTTCATGATCTGCATGAAATATTTTTCATAAAAAAACGCGTTTATATTATTTCATTAATTTTAATTTTTTTTTCTTAATAAAATTCTCACAGTTATTATTTAAGATCGTCCAAAAAAGGAAAGGTACATTTTTAAAACAATAAAAAAAATTTTTTTCATTGTATTGAAGATCTAATCGTATATGGTAATTATCATTGTCGCCAGATCGAATAAGCATCAATGAATTGTCCATATTTGTATTACTCTCTTTTCTATTTAAAGTAACGACTTTATTCGGTAAAGATTCCTTTTTAATATTCGAATAAATTCAAAATTATTAAAACAAAATTCAAACATAAAGGCGCTAAATTAAGTTAGGTTAGATTAATATTTTTATTTACTTACGCCCATTCATCAACTTTGAGTAATTTCATACTTGTAACGATCAATAAGTTTTTTTATTTTTATTTTTATTTTTTTTTTTCAAAAATAAAATTAGATTTTTGTAGATCAAAGGGGATGTATCAAGTTTGGTAATTTCATATTCGCGCGAGTAAATGTTCCTTTTCCCGAAGTAGTTTCTTGTGGTTAATGTATGAAAAATTTTTTCGATAACACTTCCCGTCTTTAGAAATTCTAAAACACAACAATGAAAAGATTAACAATCAATACCGATCTTCTATGATCACCTTATTGAAAGCATCATCAATTCAACGAGTATATAAACACGTCTTGATTCCCCTCCAAAGTAGTTCTTCAGTTCTTTAATAAAATATCGAACTGATCAAAGTACAATAAATTCTATAAACAACGAAATTTTAACGAATCATGAAATTCAATTCTGCTCTTTTGCTGCTTGCATTTGCGGCTGTGGCCGTGACGTATCCTATTGAGGATAACAGTGTCTCAGAAGGTAAGATTAAAATGACGATAAAGTTCATATCCTATAAAAATTATCTTAGAATCCTAATTTTTTTTGTAATTAGTTGATAAACGTAACGACGCCTACAAGCCAAATCATCACGCACCACCAAAGAAGAAACCAACCTACAAGCGTGAAGATTACAAACCAAAACCAGATGATTACAAACCAGTAAAGGAAGATGATTACAAAGTAAAGGAAGATGATTACAAACCAGTAAAGGAAGATCATTACAAACCAAAGGAAGATATGGATTACGAATCATCAAAGAAGAAGCCAACCTACAAGCGTAACGAATACAAACCAAAACCAGATGATTATAAACCAGTAAAGGAAGATGATTACAAAGTAAAGGAAGATGATTACAAAGTAAAGGAAGATGATTACAAACCAGTAAAAGAAGATGATTACAAACCAAAGGAAGATGATTACAAACCAAAGGAAGATGATTACAAACCAGTAAAAGAAGATGATTACAAACCAAAGGAAGATGATTACGAACCAAAGAAAGATGATTACAAACCAGTAAAGGAAGATGATTACAAAGTAAAGGAAGATGATTACAAACCAAAGGAAGATGATTACGAACCAAAGAAAGATGATTACAAACCAGTAAAGGAAGATGATTACAAAGTAAAGGAAGATGATTACAAACCAAAGGAAGATAAGGATTACGAACCAAAGAAAGATGATTACAAACCAAAACCAAAATACTAATAATAACTGCGAAATATATTTTTAGCATTTGCATCATAGATTAATACAATCTTCGATGTTATTTTTCAACGAAACTAGTCTTTTTTTTATTCTTTTTTATTATCTATTATTATCTGAATATTGAAATAGGAGGAATTTAACATAATTACGATGTAAAATTGGATTTAATAGTTTATGTACTGTATGTAATTTATTTTATTTTATTTTGGAATTCATTAAATTGGAATATCAATTTCTCCTAAATCGTTGTTAATGAGCTTTAATAAATAAAATTTGATTGTTTCGAGTATAATTTGCAATTATTGGCTGATTATAATTATAATTACCACAATTCTTGATGAATATCTTAAAATAATAGACTAAATTGATAACAGAGCCAGATATAATATCAAAATCATAAAAATAAAAAAAAAAATTTAAATAAATTTAAAACAAATTATCTTGCTCCAATACTTTTATATATCTTACTTTGCATTTTTGTTCTTTGATTAATTCATCAAAACTAAATTGACATATGACGTGTTTTTACGGATCACGAAACGTTGCTCCGTTCTGTCGCCTTTGATTTTTACCATGGATTTCTTTCATGGACGTTAAAAATGCGATAAGTGCGAGTGTGTATTTGATTCTGAAGCTTTTTATTCAGCTAATTTACTGTACGGTGTTACTAGTGCTCCGAAACGATCGAGTCGACCCGGGTTGTTTGACCCGCCTCGAATTTTTCTCGAGTCGGAACTATCATTTTTATGACACGAGTCCTAATTCAAAAAAACCCGCCGGATCAGGGTCACGTTTTTGCTTGACCCGGGTGACCCTGATGATCAGGCGATCTGATTTAAACAATATTGACGCGCTAGACTTTTTTTTTTTCACGTAATTTGTAACAAATAAATAATAAGTAGACCTATCGACGTTACCGATAGTACCACTTCTTCTAGAAAACGAAAATCATTGCGGAGTGAACAATTAGAGGCAAGTAAAAAAAAAAATTATCGATTATTAAACATTATTAAAAACATTTTTTATAAAACAACAAGTGTTCCAGTAGAACGAGTTTTTCTGGCGGAACATATATGATATCAATCAAAAAATGTGGTCTAAAAGCTAATACAATTCGCCTGTATGCTGTTGGAAAAAGATGAAAAAAAAAAAAAAGAACTATGATTAATTCTCACAAGAAAAAATAAATTTTAAAATAAAATAAACTTTATATAACACTTTTTTATTTACGACATTAATATAAAATATTTATAAGCGAAAAAAAGTGCTAAAAAGCTTGTCACGTTTTGCTTAACTAATTAAACTGTATAAAAAAAAAATTTTTAGAAATAATCAAAAAATAAAAAATGTGTAAATTACTTTGATAAGATGAAATTAAAATAAAACTAATGTGGCCAACTCAGCCATCGAAATCCGTCGAAATTCTCTTGAAAAGTCTTGAAAAATAAAGAATTATTTTTTTTTTTTTTTTTTGTTTATAAAAAAAAAATAGTAATATAAATAAATTTAACAAGTAATAAAATAAATGTAATGATATATAGGCAGCGCCGAATCGGGTAAGTATTTTATAATAAAACCGTCTTCTGCATCTTTTCTTGATTTTTAGTCAGTCGAGGCGCAGCGTCGAATCGGGTAAGTATTTAAATTTTTTTTTCTATATATTATACCACTGTCCATTAAGCTCAAAGAAACTCTTGAGACTTCGGGTTAAACAATGATCGAATTCGGGTTCTGTAATTATTAACGGGTTCGAGTTCGAGTATGCCTTATATCCGACCCGACCCGACCCGACCCTTACGGAGCACTATGTGTTACAACTCAAATTGATTCGTGATAACAATGAATAAAAAACCAAGATTTAATTTTGAATCCGTGGTCGTTCGAATCATTTCAAAGGAATAAGGTGTAGTTGATATTCTCAACAAGGTAACTTTTGATTCGTTTTTTTATTTTTTTTTTTTTTTAAAAAAAAAAAAAAAAAAAAAAAATATCGCCTTGAAAGCACACGGGTTTAACAAAACTACGTCACATTTTGACAATACTGATTGTTATGTTGTAGTTCAAAATATTTCATATAAACAAATTATCTACTATCGAAATTTTTTCGAGTAAAAGAACCACAATATACATTTTAATAATTAGAAACATATGAAGTCGCCTTCGTATGTGACATGTACTATGAACTTTTATCAATTGGGTATTTTGCAATAGAAATAATAGAAAGGGAGGATGCTCTAAAAAAATTTTTTAAGTTAAATTTTGGACTTATTTTACTTAAAAAAAAAAATTGTATAAAAATTGTTTTTTGTAATAAATCATTTTAAATAATCATCAGTTCGATTCGCAAATAATTTTTTTTTTTTTTTTTTTTTCAAAGATTCCGCCCATTTTTATTTTATTGTCAAATAAAGTTCTAGGGTACAAAATTGAAATTTTTACATTTAGTTTCCATATTAACGTTATGAAAATGTATAACATTTAATCACATGACGCTAGGGAGCTGAAAACAATGTATCATATTTTTGAAGAATTTTTCGTAATTTATAAGAAATTTCTTGAATCTTCTTGACAATGCCTTCAGTTCTGCAAAATCATTGGCTTTTTTTAAAAATAAAAAAAAATAAAAATAAAAAATAATATCCATTTCAAAAAATACTTTGTGCAATAGCATCTGAAGAAAATAAAATATATCCTTTGGATTTTTTCAACGAGGTATTACATGTTTCTTAAAGTTATCATGTATCATTCATTAAGTGGTAGTTAAGTTTTAAATATTTCAGATATTTTAAGGGAAATTACCTTCTATATCAGTTTCAAGAACCGAAGTATGATTTTGAACTGATTAAAACTGTATTAATAAATTTTTATACGAGACTATACCCACCTCGCGGCAGGCGGTTTGGTATTATCCTTGGTCAAATTAGCAATGGGTTTATTCTTTGGAGGAGGCGGTGGAGAAGGTCTATTATTCTGAGTGTTTAAGACGACGTTGGGATGAGACGGGTTAACTACGTTAGCGAAGGTAATGTTATCTCTAATTGCGCAGCATTTCGTTAGATATTTTTGATGGGCCTGGTCTTGACGCGCTGGCTCCCCTGATCACCACCCCTGTCAGAAACGTCCCGAAGAGCTTGCGTGATGACCTACAAGATTTTATTGAATTAATAAATAAGGTACAACGCCATACACGATGCTGGTACATAGATTTGATTTAATAAGTTGATATCAAAACCAACGTGAACGTAAGGTTATATAAAATATACTATTTTTTCGATTTTTTTGGTGATATAACAAATATTTGTAATAAATGTAATGAGCAATTTCCATCTTTTGTTCTTATTGGAAGGAATGCTATTGATTAATGATGGAGCTATGATTAGTTATAACTAGTTGCAATTAATTACAACTTATAATGTATATTAAATTATATTAAAATTAACTTTATAATAAAATTTTTCATTAAATCGATAAATTTTTACGCCTTTATAACTCTCAATTCTATTTATCTAAAATAACATTAGAGCTATTAATTATAGAAAGAATTTTTGACTTTCCTAAAGTTCTTCTGTATCCATATATTGCATTCTAATTTCAAGACAGGCTCGTAATTTGAAAAATGCGCGTGAGATACGGGTACAAAAATTAGAAGCACAAAACACAATTAAAGCAAAGAAAAATGATAAGAAAAGAGAAATGAAATGGACGAATCAGAACTTGAAATTTTCAAGATCCAAAACAGATAAAATTAATCTTCATAATTCAGCAATGGTCCGAATTATCTAAAAGGTTTAAATGAAGGCAAACATTTTTTACCATATTTTAAAAAATAAAGTATAATTTTCTTGAGTTAATTTATCCTTGGGAATACATCAGAAGTACTGTGGATTTATGTTTACTTTTCGTAGTTTTTCCTGAAGGTTAGGAGTTATATAAATTTTTTTTTTTTTTGATATTTAAGGTAGGGGTAAAACGCAATCATTGAAAAGTAATGTAATCACTTAGAAGGCGCAGTAATTCCTTGCGCATGATGTCAATTAATTCAATACTTCTTACTCGGCAGTATATAGATAGAATTGATTTAACTTATAATTCGTCACAAAGAAATTTATCACGTCTCTCGTCCGAATTGATATACAATTTTTTTATGACAGTATCTTCATTCACATCATTCTTTTATCCTAATTTTTAATAAAATCATAAAATTGGAAACGGGCTCTTACGAAAATCAGGGGGTGATCTTTGTCATTTACATAATGGTAATTAAGT